CTATACTATACTATAATGCCATAGCTATGTATAATACCATAGCTATACCATAATACCGTAGCTATATCATAGCTAGATAGATTTGTTTCCTCAGACAAAATTAGTCTTTTTATCTTTTTTTTAGAAACATTAGAGAAATACTTTGATTTCCAGGAGGTGTCAGACCTAACAGTTCATCACTGCTGTTATAATTCATAACTTTGTACAGTGCAAGATGAATGTATCAGCTTTAGTCTCAAGTAGGAGACGAATTAGCCTTGAACTTGTTGGTGTGACGTCAGTACAAAACATATCAAGAAACCAGGATATAGGATTAATTGTCCTTTAAATTGAGCAATTAATAGATTGATTTTTCTTTAAAAACTGACCACAAATGGAAAAAATATTCACAATCCAATAGATGTTTTGAGCTTATTTGATAATCCAATGAGACAATGCAACCATCAACAACTTGTATTCTAACGGTGCTTCATAGGTTGCAGTTTCACAGTAATGCTCGTGTTTTTCGTGTTAATTTTACCACGTAAATCATTCGGAGGTACACGCATTTTGACTGGAGTTGCACAACTTAAAGAGATCGTTCAACTGATGTCAATGCAACGATAAGCGATTTCTTCTCTCATGTTCTGTTCTGGACTAAACGTGACAAGAAAATAACACTTTTAGTTGCGGTCTCACTGAAGCCGAGCGTTTGCGATCAGCAAACTGTATTCTCGGCCGCGCACATTATTGTGTCATCTAACTCCGCCCACATTGTGCCACATTGTAGAGGGCGGAGGGCTGAATGTCGGTCAGTTAGTTCCTGTTGACGGAGCTTCTGCAGGATGGGTCGTTAAGTTTTGTTGCAGCGGAAAAGAAAATCTGAAATCCTCAACCAACAGGACTGAATGTCGACAGAACATTAAAGAAATAAAGTTCATGACCGAAGCACTGAATGTGCTTACGAGGAGGTAACTCAATTAATGTCAAGACCTAAAATTGAAAATATAAACACATTTAAGACTTTTACGGCCTAAAGTAGAGCTGATTATATTTAGTCCCTGCAAAGGTTGGAGTTCCTGCGACAAAACCGAGACAAGTTAGAGACGCATGCAACGACTCTGCAACTATTTCGAGAGAAAACGTGTCTCACTTTTCTGTTTTGAACATGTTTAAAATCCAACACTGCAATTCTTTGTGAGTCTGTGGGGGAATTGAACCCCCACCCCGCCAAAAAAAACCATTTTGGAGACTACGTCATGAGAGCTAGTCACCAACAGCTGCAGCTCTGCAACACTTAAATCAGCTGTTGGCATTTGTTCCAATTATTTGCAGCGTCAGCATCGGGGACATTAATCCTCAAATTGTGCCTGATCCATCTATTAACAAGCAGAATAACCTCATCGATCACACCCAGATGTTTCAAAGGCAATCAACAGATCAAACCGCGTGAACTCTAATACAAATAAACGATCGAGAATTGAATTTATTGCTGCATTTTTTTTTTAAATAGTCCTTGAATGTGTGATGCTGCAGTGCTCAAACAGGCCACTAGATGTCATCAGAACTCCTTCAGACACCCCGAACTGTTTTTCTGGAAGTTATTGAATGAATTAATTAATTTTCTGCATCCTTTTATAAAATGGTATTCACAATTGGAAATTTTTATGTGTGTGTGTGTAGGGGGGAGATTCAGCTGAAGAACAGAACACAAGGCCGATGAAACGCCCACACACACGCAGCCCGTCTTCATCTACCCTAAGGGAGGAAGCGGCACCGGGCCTCGGTGTTAACCTGTGCAGATGAAGCTGGGGTTTCCACCGTGGATCAGGTCGTCGTTGTCGGGCAGGATGAACGGACAGCTCTGCTGGACCTCCAGGCAGTACTGGTGGCACGGTATCTTCCTCGGACACGACTGCTGGATGGTGGGGAAATACTGAGCACAGAGCCAGGGCTTGTAGGCCACCTAGGGAGGAGGAAGAGGAGAGAAGATGACATAAATAGATGCAGATTCATGATCCTTTTGAAGACTGCTGAAGTTCTTTGTCTTTGCCGGGTCTTAGGCCTCCTCGTGTTAGTTTTGGATTCATACAGGAGCTTTAAACGGTAGACGTTTTGACATGACTACCCACTACTTGATGTAAACTTAAAATCATCAAGGGCAAAGGACATCTAGAAGATGGATACTATATCCTTAAAATCAAATAGAGGCCGTACTTCCTTCTCTCTGTAGAATTATAAATTGTAAGGAGGGAGTCTTTCCTACAGCGTGGAAAACCGCAGTGATTACACCAGTTTTTAAATCAGGTAATGGAAGAGAGACGAGTAAGAATACTGCCAGTCGTGTTAAAAATTAAAAATTTTAATCTCTCACATCAACCTGCTAGGGGACTACAGATGAACATTAGCCTCTCTGGATAAATCTGGCATAAGCAGGTGATGTATTCATGTGGACTAATATGCATTGCCCCTTTATGAAATAAATACATTTAAAAAAAGCTAAATGCTTTGCTTATCAAACGTGAGTTTTCTTCCTCATCTGTTTGTCTGTGGTACATCAGTGACATTCAAAGCCAAGTTGACCAAACTCGTGCCTTCTTCCAAGTAAAGTTTGCTGTAAACGCTTGAGAGACAGGAAGTCCAAACGAATGCAGAGACTTATCTGTGCACGGAGACAGATGGTGACATGTAATCATCAAAGCTTCGGGATCAGAAAGCTTAGAGAAACTCAAACGAAGGCCAAATCCAAGTCTGGAATTACCCTGAATTTTAGCTGTTTCTCTCTGCACTTTTTAATGTTCAGCTGCACAACATGGTTCGACTGTAAACAATAACGAATTGTATAACTCGCAGCGCTGCAGCCATATGAGCCAACAAACACTTGTTTTTAAAACAAACTAAATAATAATCATACAAGTGTTGGACAAATGCACCTACACAAGTCAGAGCCTGTAAATATAATCAACAGTAATGCAATGTTTACGTTGTGTAGATAGGAAAAAAAAACACTAAAAGATTATTTACAACGTTGCCGATTCTGTAAATAACAATAAATACAAAAACACACTATTATGGTGCAGAAGATGTTCATTATGACAATATAAATATTTAGTGAGTATATGTCAACCACATTAGGCTAATTCTCAACACTAGCACTCAACTGCTAGCACAAATTAACAGCTGAATTGTTTACTGTTAAAATGCTCACGTTTAGCTAATGTTTGCAGATATGTAAGATAATTCTTAACAATACAGCTAAGCTAACAGCTAACACCAGGAATATGGTTTACAATAAACGTTAATGTTTAACAGGTACGGAAGTCCCTCGATACATCGCGGTTCGACTTTCGCGGACTCCCTCTTTTGCGGGTTTTCAACGCAAGATTGTACACGGCACACGATTGGCGGAAACCAGAGCATTGTGCTATGGGGCGGACTGGCCATTGGGAGCACCATGACATTTCCCGGTGGCCTGGCCCGCTCAGTGATCATTGAGGGGGCCCCTCCTTTCTCTTTCTGAGGCCGTCATAACAGAGCAGAGACACAAACCTGTTGTGAGTCTCTGCTTTGCTGTGACACACAGCCTCATAAAGAGAAAGGAGGGAGAGGGGTCTGTCTTTCTCCATTGCTGCTGTGGGAGCTTCAGTGAGGCAGATACCAGAGTGAGCAGCATGGATTGTTTAGTAGTCCTCTAGTCCTTTGGACTAGTCTAGAGGACTACTAAACAATCCATGCAGCTAGGAACACTATTTGTAGATAAGATAGAAGGACTGCTAGTACCAACTACCTGTTTGAAAACAACATCCCTTTGGTTTTTATCAGCTTTTAGCACCAGTTTGAGACCGAACAAGTGTGACTGAATGATGTGGAATGCAGACTGTAAAAGCTGGAAAACCATAGCAACTGATATAGCTAGACAATAAACAACTGTATCGTCAGCATAGAAATGTAAGGACGCGTCAGGAATGATCTGACCTACATTACTTATGTAGATTGTAAAGAGAGGGTGTCCTAAGACTGAGTCTTGTGGTACACCATTTAAATTAACGTCTTATGATGAAAAACAAAACATTTTTAATAAAATGTACCAGCTTTACACATCCAGGGGTTAGGGAACTCCAATATGATATTAAACAGAGTTTGAAAACTTGGCTGTTGTGAAATTTGTTTCAATGATTTTCCGTGATACTCCAGAGCCCATGTGGATAACGGTCACAAAAACTTAAAGCTTTACTGCTTATAGTCCAAAGATCACTAGTATCAATCTTTATGTTCTGGTCTTGGCCTCAACATGTATAGGCCAAATCCCATTGGACCATGTTCTACTTTTTGTATCGTACTGTGAAGGGTTTTAGTTATTAATATCACATACTTTTGGGTAGAAGAAAACTTCCAAACTAATAAATATGAGCAGTTTTTGGGGTGAAAAAAAAAATCTCAAAATGTAGGTATTTTCTCAAGTAAAAATATTTATTTGGCAAAAAATTCTAATGTATAGCTTGGTGTGTACAATGCATAATGTTTGGTTTTATCATAAATAGGCATATTCATTTGCTTTTGTAACTTTTTTCTAACAAAAGATTTGTTTCAACAAATGTGAAGTACAGTATAGTGTAGTGTATTATGATTAAATGCAGTTGTATTATTGTCATTCTTCCTGTAGAATCCTAAAAACAACATAGGTGACCAGTGATGGAAAACTGAGTCACAACAAGGAAATTTCCAATAATGAGTTATTATGTTCAAATTTTCCATCTTAGTTTCAAAATGTTACACAATTTGTTCCAGTTTGAAAGACGTTGCCGGAAAGTCCAGATAATATTTAAAAGGGGGAACCTTTAACCTCCACAATGATGCCATACGTTATACGAAGGGATTTCCTGGTACTACTAATAGGCAAAACAAAAACGGTCACTTTCAGAAGAAATTATAGTAATTATTTCTGAAGACATCTGTTAGATTAGGAAGATTATATGCTATGTTGGTTACTAGTGTTGCTAGATGGTGTTTTGTGGACTCGTTTTTATACATTTTTCAATTACAACAAATAAATACACTGCCTAGGCAAAAAAAAGTCACCACCAAAAGAAAAGGTCACACACTAATATTTCGTTGGACCACCTTTAGCTTTGATCACATCATGCATTCACTGTGGCATTGTTTCTAGAAGCTTCTGCAACGTCACAAGATCTATTTCCATCCAGAGTTGCATTAATTTTTCACCAAGATCTTTCACTGGTGACTAGACACCAGACATGATGGGTGCATCACTTCACCTGCCTCTCTTCTTACCCTGATGCGTCCATCACTCTGGAACAGGGTCAATCTAGACTCATCAGACCTTCTTCCATTGCTCCAGAGTCCAATCTTTATGCTCCCTAACAAATTGAAGCCTTTTTTTTCCCTGTTAGCCTCACTGGTTAGTGGTTCTCTTAAGGCTACGCAGCTGTTCAGTCCCAGTTCCTTGAGTTCCCTTCACATTGTGCATGTGGAAATGTTCTTTCACTATTAAACATAGACCTGAGTGCTGCTGGTGTTTTTCTTCCATTTGATTTCACCAAACGTTTAAGTGATCACCAATCACGATCATTCAGGATTTTTTTCCGGCCACATTTCTTCCTCGAAGACGATGGGTCCCCACTATCCGTCCAGTTTTTAATAATGCGTTGGACAGTTCTTAACCCAGTTTTAGTAGTTTCTACAATCTCCTTAGATGTTTTCTCTGCTCGATACCAATGATTTGACCCTTCTCAAACAGACGGACATCTTTTCCACGACCACGCCATGAGTCTTTCCACATGGTTGTTTAAGAAATGAGAAGCAACTCGTTGCACCAGTTGGGGTTAAATAACTTGTTGCAGCTGAAACATAATCACCCATGCAGTAATTATCCAACAGGAGGCTCGTACCTAATTTGCTTAGTTAAATCCAGGTGATGACTTTTTTTTTTTTTTTTGGCCAGGCAGTGTAATTTCACTGACTTTGTACTGCAGCTTGTAGTCATTCTGATTTTGCCAGCATAGGTTACATATGTAAAATCTAACATTTTATACTGTACATATGACAAAACTGTCGCGTGTTCAAGTATCAGAAATCGAGGACAATCGGCGGTGCTTTGTAAAGCCATGTCCCATGTCGCAATGGAATATGCTCTTTGCAGCTTCAAAGCTTACAGGTGGAGCAAGGAAATAATATGAAATGAAGAAGGATTGATCCATCCCATCTATCGATCCTCTACTGCTTATCCATAATTGAGTCGTGGAGGTAACTGGTTCAGGACGGAAACCCAGATATCTCCCTCACCAGCGACACTTTTCAGCTCGTTCTGGGGGACCCTGAGGCATTCCCAGGCCAGAGAAGATACATTATCCTTCCAGCGACTTCTGGGTCTTCCCTGGGGCCTCCTACCAGTGGGACGTGCCTGGAGAACCTCTAAAGGGAAGCATCCAGGAGTCATCCTAATCAGACGTCCAAACCACCTCAACGGACTCCTTTCAATGCGGAGGAGCAGCGGCTCTACTCCGAGCTCCCTCTGGATGACGGAGCTCCTCATCCTATCTCTAAGTCTAAGCCCAGCTGCTTTGCAAAGGAAGCCCATTTCGGCCACTTGTATCCAGGATCTCGTTCTTTCGGGTGATGACCAACGATGACCAAAAACAGAAACGTCTACACAAGAAGCGAAGGATGTGATGCCAAAAAACAAGTTACAAACTGTGAATTATCACCCATTTTTTAACCACCGAGGAACATCTATAATTTAAAGGTGGGAGAGTTCTATGTAATTTCTTTTTTTTTTTAAATATGTTTGGATAAATTACACCCATGTAAATTTTTCAACTCTTCCACCAAACCCCCATGTGGGTTTCTGATGCGTTTCCTGTTTATTCCAGCAAACAAAGATAAACACTGCACAGACAATTATAATAATTAGTGTAATCTGATTAGGGTGATGGTGATGAGAATGAT